AGCCAAATAACAACGAAGGAAACGAAACCTGCCACTCTCCCATACCTGTGATTATTTGCAAACCCCATAAAAGCACGGAAATCTCCTTTCATACTGAAATTTAAAATGAACTCCTCTTTCACCCGGAAACCTATAAACAATAAATCTCCAAGAATGATAAAGGATTATACACTGTCATAAAAAATGAAATACATATTCTAACCCTAAAAAAAGAGATCACATCAGGACTAGAGAACAAAAAACTCGTACAAAACAAACTGGAGGTAACTACAATCATAAAAAAATCCATTCGGTTAAATTTTACCGTTTTTCCCAGCCTTTTTCATTTTCCCCACTGTCTTAATGTGTTGTCTTATAGGATTTATAAAAAACAGATTCGTAATCAACTTGAAAAAAAAATTGAAAGCCATGTAGCTTTCGTTCCCGTGGGCAAACTGTCCCAATTTCACAGAAGTTGGTAAATAAAAATATGATTTTAAAAAAGTATCAATTTTTTTTAGAGGGCTCCATTTTATATCATCCTCCATGTATGATTCATGCGTCGTATTCACGAAACATAACAAATATCGGAAAGTGTGAGCTAATTGATAACTTCTTGCTCAAATCACTGTAGTAACAATTAAGACTATCGAATGTCTTTCTCCGATTATAGAATAATCATCTGAAATGATGAGCGTCTTATTGAAAAACATTGAATGATTATTAAATTCAACGTTAAATTGAACTTTTGAAAAAATTTATTGTTTCATTGGTTAACGACGAGGAAATTTAAAACTTTGTTAATTTCCCATATTTTGAAGATTTTTCCTTGAATTCCTTTGACTCCTTGAATATTCAAGAATTTAATTGACTCATCAGTGAAGAATTCTCCAGGAATTTCATGCCACTTTGTTGGCGTTAAAAATTTCGAATTTTTTCACTTCAAATGACAAATATAAATTTCCAACAGCGCAACTTCAGTTAGTATCTGTTTAATTACCATGGCTGAAAAGTTTTGTATTTTAATACATTTGTCGGGAATACTACAAGCTCACCCTACAAGCTTCAATTATTTCAATCAGGATCAATCATTGTTGAACTCATAAAATCCTATTCTAAAAGGGACAGGCTTGACACAATCGATTATCTCGAAAATCTCGAAATCATGAAGCCACGATTCCTTATTGGTCCGCCTAAAGTGGCGCGAGATTACAAAGTCGTAACTCTCTTACAGGAATCCTATTTTAAAAGGGACACGCTTGACACAATCGATTATCTCGAAGATCTCGAAATCATGAAGCCAGGATTCCTTATTGGTCCGCCTAAAGTGGCGCGAGATTACAAAGTCGTAACTCTCTTACAGAAAAAGTTTCATACCCGCGTGCTGGCGCACGATATGTTCTCCCGTAATTATGAAATGAGGGAGGTGGTCGACGGATGATCGAGGCTTCGCCAAAATCCGCATTCGGAGTCAGTTTTGATATTATAATATTTCAGGTTTCAATAACGATTGGTCCGGCACTCTTTGAATAACGGGGGTGGAAAATCAATAACAACTCGTTTTTCATTTCGCATGTGTCCAAAAAATTCATGTTCATCCGACATATTTTTTCACGTACAAACTATTTCAACATTACTGTTAATTTTTCAGAAAACTAGGCAGGGTAAAATCAATCAGAAACAATCGTGTGATTATCAAAGTCATCCTGGAGTAGAAAAAACGCGAAAAATCCGTGTGGATATTCATATTTATTAAGGATGGAGGGAAAAGCAATGAGAACTATATAAGAAGAGAAAAAAATAGGTGAGTCAAGCACATTTTGCTCTTAGTTTACTTATAATTTATACTTGATTCTGCTTTATTGCAGTTTTAATGGGGTAGATGATTTTTGAATTATAATATTATTGAGTTATAATTATAATATAATCTATATAATTATAATATAATATAACTATAATAATTATTGAATTTTGATGATTTTCTAAGAGTTTCGAGAATTTATATTCAGATGCATTCTTCACTACACTTATTGCCAACACCTGATCAATTTTTGTATCTACCTGTTGATAAGCTCTTGCACAAAATGCATTCCACAAAAAAAACAAAAAAGCAACAATTTTATTGTGGAATAGAGACATTGCAGATAATATGAAGGGTGTAGTGAGGGCGGGCCACCTCTACGACTCTTAAAGTCTAAATCATAGAATTTCCATTTTACGATCGCTCTAAAATGTCAAGAATTTGAGATTTTTTTGTATTACTCAATTTATTCCGATTCTTGTAACGCCATAGAAAATTACAGGTACAGCTAGAGTTATCACTAATTTTCTACTGCGTTTTTATGAACTACGCGAGAAAAGACTACCAAGCTCCACCAGATTTATATAGATGGAGAATTACGAAGGTCTGCTTTATCCTTCGTCCGGTAAATCCCAGGTATAGTAAACGTTACCAGTTGGTACAATAGTCAACGAAAAAGTTCCTTAATATCAGCAGAGAAATTCAAAAATAAATAATTCTAAGAAATTACATTTCTACAGTCGAGAGAATTATATTCGTGATTGAAAAAAATGATTATTGATTTGAGCAAACGTTTTCACGGCGCTACAAAGCTTTTTCTTCTATCGAGGAACTTTTTTTTTATGTAAGAAAAAAGTTTCTAAATCTAAGAAAAAAGAGTTTCTAAACTTAAGAAAACTAATTTTTTGATTTTACACAACTTGAATCTTGAAATTTTGAATCTAAAAATTTTTAGAACCTTTAAAAAAACGACCACTGAGAATAAATAATTAGTTCACCAAGTAAACTTACTAACTAAAAACAAATGCACACATTTCAAATGTAAATATTTATCTGAGTTACTTGGACCAAGTAAATTTTCTTAGATAACGTAAATTGATTTAGCAAAAGTACTTTCTGTTAAATCAATCGTCATGTGGGAATTAAGATTTTGCATATAAAATTACACTAACAATGTTTTTTAGCATACAATCAAGTGGAGAAAATCACTCATTCCGTATTTACTATTTCGACCAATCTATCTGAGAAAGTAACTCGGATTAAAACGGCAAACAGCTTATTAGACAAGAAATATAGGTAAGCCGTGTTTCTGAATGCAAGAAAAGAAGTAAAACGTGTACCCAAAAATTGATAATTTGAAAAATATCCTAAATGAGCTCGAATTGCGGAAGAAAAATGCAAAAAGTACATGGTTTACATGTTTTTTTGTATACTTTATATATCAATTGAAACAATTTTTGAAATTGTGGGGTAAAATGAACATGTTTTGAATATCTTTCTCGGATCACAGAATCACAGACTATCTAAAGTAACAAGTAACCCATTAAGATTCATTTAATTATTGACACACTGAATGATAAACTGTTGATTAAAAAAAAAAATAATTTTAAAAATTCTTTAACGACGTAGTGAATTCAGTGAAAGGACACCATTGAAGCACAGCCAATGAAAATTTTAAATCCACTCGATGATGTATAGTATTACTAGAATTTTTTTTGCATTTTTCACCGTTTTATTATTTTTGGAGAATCCCACCCGCCAGTCTACCAATTCGCTGAGTTCCAAATGATTCATTCATCTATTTATATTACCCCAGATGTCCTTATCCCCCGCATCCCGTATCTTTTATATATTTTCCGATGGGAAAAAGGCGTGGCGAGATAAGAGATAAATTCGATTCGCTCTCTCGTCGCTCTTCATTCTATGTTTGGCATTACCATCTCTCATGAGGGAATTCCAGGACGTGTGTTTCTAGAAGTGTCGACACTGGTAATCGAACTTCTCTTCACTTTGACTCTCGACCTATCAATCCTGAAAAGGTGACCGGAAGAAAATCAATTGGTTCTAGTTGTCAAGAACTTGAAACTGGCGGAATGGTTAAACTATTTTATGGATATTCTCAACTTAAGCTATTTATCGTTTCCTAATGTTCTATCGTTACTTGATTTTTTGATATTGTTGCGTATTCATCCATTTCCCCCTTCTAAGCTAGGTTCAAGTACGACCATCTCTTTCTTTTGATTTTGTCTTTGATCTTTTATTGAATCGTTGACATGTCACTTCTTTTCGATTAATTATTTGAATTCCTTTTCCCCTTACTTTCAATAAACTTATTTAATTACAAAACCGAGTCTGATTTCGCAATATTGTTATAATTTACCATGGATTCAATTGATTTCATGAAAAACAATAGGATGGAGTAATAATCAATGGCAAAATTTGCATTGACAGACTTATGAAAAGAGCTGGAAACGTTTCAGTAATTTATTCATTGATAAATCTTGCCAAAAGAAAAAAATAATTGATCAATTTTATGAACGAATGGAAATTTGTATGGTAACGGGACCCGGTCGTAAGAATTATTCAATTTGTAACAAAAAACAGAGATAAAGATAAGCCTGTACTCTTTGCTATCAACTACCACAACATTCTATGTTCTTTCTCATTTACTTTGTATACATATTTATATCAGTATGAAGAAGGAAGAAATTATTGTATAGAGATGCGCCATTTTATCCGTTGGATTAAAGTGCCTTTTTGCATGGTAATAACCATTAACCGGTATGGTGGCTATGGAAAGAGCAAAGGGAACACAGGATGGCAAAGATAATACCATAATTATATGGGGCCACAAAAAAGTGTAATGGGAGACCGTTAAAAAATAGGCAGGAAGAAATTCTGGGTGAAAATGGCTGGCATTGGTGGTTAATATGTGCGCCTGAAATTTGTGCTATTTTTATTATATAAAATCAAAGTTAATTCAATTTAATTTTGAAATTAAAATTAAAAGTTTATCAAAATTTAAAAAAAACCATAACTATTTTCGCATATCGTGATTAAAACATGCTGTAATGGTCTTGTAAATAAATCAATGATTTTTTACTTAGCAGCGTAGACTAAGTAATAGTGTTCTAAAATTTTTTTAGGAGTTTATTATGAATTCTTAATATGATCTGTTCAATCTTTCACGATTTTCGAAATATTCATGTTGTTTTACATCGGATTTATTAGAATCTTTGAATATTGTACTGCTCGTCAGATTTAATTTTTTATTACTTACGGACGGAAGCTGAATTCATCCAAATTTAGATTTCGAATTCCGGGTGTTAGTGTAGATAAATATTGTCTGATAAGTTTAAATATGCGATTCTTATATACTGTAGGTATATGTAGGGAAAATGGCGGTAATAATGAACATGCTTTTATTTGAATGCCTTTCACGAGTTACTCGGTTCCGTAAAATCATTTGTTCAACTGTTTAATAAGCTAGCAAATGATTATAAGAAAAATGGTTGAAGCACTGCCAATTTGGAATTTCCAGCTCATTCAATGATGTATACTACTATTACTTCAATTGTTATATTTTTGTCGCGCTAATTATTGACTTTTTTTTGAACTTCAAACTTTCGATTTTTAAGATTGGCTTTTATGCACAATCTTTTCGAGTCAGATCATCTGCATCTCTTTCGGGAACATAGAACGAATCGAATTTATTCGAATCTCTGTCTCATCTTTCCGCAGTTCTAATTAAACTGAATTTCTCCGTACATGAGTTAAGGAGATATCGGAGCAAAGCATTTAGCAGAGACATCCAGCTTTGTCGTTTCAGACTTTGATGTTGCCAGAGGACTGCTTAACGTATCCAAATTTCTATGAGACGTTGCAATATTCATCAGTCTTACCTGCAACGAAAAAATAAAAAATTTCTGTTAGAATTATCTAGCAGTGGAGTACTAAAAATCGAAGTCGAGAATAATTAACTGCATAATTACTTAATAGCTGGTTGTTTTAATGAATCAGTACCTAGGAGTGACTCTAATGAATTCAATTACTAATTCGATTTCCACAAAAGCTTGAATCATAGCCATTACACCATCGAGCGTTATGCTAACTATTCATTGCATAAATTCATTGGAGAAATTGAACAGGAGAGTTTAATCAGCCTGACTAGACAATTCAATAAAATAAACATCCCGTAATTCCAATATATAAAACGGTGTTCCTCAATTTTTCTGAGCATTCAAGTCGAAATCATTTTAATCGATATTTTATTGACTAGAGTCAGATGCCATACTGATTGAGATAGGTACTGTAAAATTAGTACACTCAGAGAGTACATCAATATTTTTATACCAGATTCTACCAATGTGTCTACGATCGTTCGGCTGAGGCTTGAAAAGCGCATCTGAATGGCCACGGTACTGACATAGATATCATTATTTCTGTGGAATCACCCAAGTATTCTTTACGTCGCTAGAATAGTGCAAAACAACCGTAAAAAATCGCCATATTGAATTGTTAAGGAAATAATATTTCTCTACGTATGGTGGTTTAGGAATAAAGAATAGACTCTTTCCAATGTTAATTTGAGCTTGAAAAATTTAGCGAATGTACTAAACATTAACCTAAAATTCATTGAAAGCTACAGTAGAATAGCCATAGAATGAGAGAGGGAAATGGATATCTTGAAGAAGGGGAGAATGAGCTACTCCACCCAGTGTTACCACTCCCAAACCACGGAAAACCCTGAGGAGGTTCTGCCCGACATTCTGAATTGCGTCCCCGAGGTAGCTCGCAAAATACCGTATGCATTATGCATAGGGTAAAAGAAGGGTGGCAATAGGTGGCGGTGAATAAGAGCAAGGGAGACAGCGAAATTGGAAATGGGTAACGATGAAGAGAAGTGGGTAAAGTGAAGTGGAGATGATACTTGTGCCAAGTGTGGCCCACGCCGTGACTCTCGCGACTGCATGTAATTTAATTTACGAGTCTCGTAAGGAACACAACCTGGAGCCATATCTTTTCCATCGGATATTCCAAGGAGCAATCATCAGTCTTTTCGGAAACTGTTTGTCTAGTGGCTTGCATTGTTTTCATTCCACCGTAGACAAAGATATCGAGATCTTTTGGACATTTTTTTTACGTCGAGGATTGATGTCCGGAGTTATTAGAGGAATATCTACTATCGCTGAAGATGTCGGGACACGGACTTTCGAGAGAAAGGTAGAGATAAAGATAGAGATTAGCTTATTTGTCAGAAGATATTTGTTTTCTAAAATTTTCGTGAGCTATGAAGAAGTTCTGAGAAACTATCAAAATAAAAATATATAAATATCAATTGACTCTACTATTGATTTTTAAAAATTCTGTTGAAAAATCCTGTAGAGAAAGATACTATATTAAGGATAATAATATAGTTCGAAAGTTATGCTAAATATACTATCGAAAAACGAAAATATTAAGATTGAAAATTTTAACTCTTGGTTTTTTCTTTCCATCTTCATTATTTTTTTTTTAATGAGACAAAAATATATAAAATATATACATATAAAATTTAAACAAAGGCTTCGATCAGAACCTAAAAGAGAAATCATATTTACCTTCTGAAAATTTGCTTAAGGTAAAGTCACGAAGACGCGTAGAAATTGAATGGAAAATTATAGAAATTATAATAATTATAGGCAGGAATTAAATCGTTCTATGCAGGATAATGTAAATACAATTCAAGAAGGTATGAGAAAATGATAAAATTTTTCAGTTGTATAATGTCACCATCTGCGCAGTTATGACTTTGATCACCTCCGTGGGACTTCACCGCCAAATTATTCAAATTGCCGTGTTGCTGACTTTAGTTCACAGTGCTCAGGCATTTGTAGCAGGTCTTCAACAACCTCACAATAGTACTCGCTGAATAATATAGCGACATTTTTTCCGAAATATACTCGCTCATAATTTATCATAAAAGTGTATCAGCATTTTGAAGCCTTGGGCAACATTTCATTCTTTACCGGTTTTAATTTCCCTTACACTCATTATGCTCTCTGTTCTCATTATGAGAACTTGTTTATCGGCGAAAAATTTTGGTAATGAGTATCTTCTTCACATATAATTTTGGCAAAACTGAATTAATTCTGTTAGTATAGAAGAGGCAGATTCGGGTTATTGAAATTACTCATATCGAACACGATCTGTTTTAAGATAAACATTACGGGAATTTAATATACAGAAATATGTACAATGCAACGTTTGTACATTCATTTTTTGGAGCCACGGTCATAAGAATGTAAAATCAAGTTAGATTTTACTTCAGAGATAAAATTCACTCAACCAATAAACGTTAAAATAGATTATTTCAGGTTCAACAAATTCACTAAATTCAACATTTAATAACAAAAGTAAGTAAAATGGAGAATCTACCATTGCGACGGACTCAATTAGGTGAAAAAAACCACTTTGAGGATGTGACCGGATGTAAAGATCATCTTATGATCTTTATGGGGTTCATAGACGAGGAGAAAAATACTCCTGCAAATCTAATATTTCGACAAAACTTAACCTAAGAAGTGGTTGAATGTCATTTCGTCGCACGTCTGACCCTCTCCTAAGTGAATGTAATTACCTCACCATACTCGGGCCAACGCCTGGCCCTAAATTGGTTGGTCAATAATTGGATCACTAATTAATAGCCGAGTCTTGGCTGAGTATTGACGAGCCAAGAATCGGTATCCCTATTCCGGGTCAACGCTTGGCCGAAGGTTGGCTATCGAAAGTTGGTAGAGCATCTCTGGCCCAACACTTCGTCGGTCGATGGTGTACTGAAGACTGGTACTCCATTGCTCGCTCATGACAAGAGAACTTATGCAAATGGATAAAGTACATCATAAGAGGAAATTTATTAATTATTAATTAATGCGGTTCTTTCAGCGATTGACACATGGGGCTAAATGTGAATGATATCAGTGAAAAAAAATTTTTTGTTTTGTTTTTAATGATTTCAATCAATAATTGCTAGATGAATTGAATAATTGGTTAAACATTGGATCCCAAGTTTCGAAATTAGAATTGAGCCAGTCTTGGCGAAAATCATTTACCCAGTTATGGGCCAGTAACGGCAGCCCGAGTTATCATCCAGGATACGGTATATATCCAGCCATGGGCCAGTCTTTAAGGTTGTTGTCGCGCGACAGTCTCGGTAAAAAGTTTATCCGCAGTAAAACGGGCCAGTTTAGAACACAATCTTTTAGCGGTATATAGTCTCACTTGATTGATTGCATTGTGCATGGATAGCTAAAGCATAACTATATATTTTCCATATTAACTATTTTCAATTATATAAATTTATGAATTTCCGATAATTATATTCCGTAAACCAAACGGTCAATCGGTTTGATTTTTTTTTCTGTATTTCCTCCCACGATGTATATTCCACGTTTTTTTTTATTTCTGAAACTGTCGAGCCGTTGATTTTTAAAAAATTCTAATCGGCAAAACTCCATTTAAACACGTGTTAAATCACTCGAATTTCAAAAATTTATAACTCAAGTTCAAAACGGTCAATTGCAAACGGAAAAGGCTCATTATGTTGCTAATTTTTCAAACTATTCACCATAAAATTTTGAACGAAAACTGTCGAAAAAAAATTCTACGCGACAACAACCTTAAGCCAAGCGTTGCGCCAAGCTTGTTAATTGGCATGTCAAGCGTCGGGCATTGGTTGGCCTGCAGGTCTTAACCCCTACTTAGGCTGAGACGCTAATGTTTAGTGGAAATTTTTATCAGTGTATAATTCGACAAGTGATAATGGCACTGACACCATCTTGGGACTGAGTCTGTATAACATAAATAGGGATATTTATAGCGTCATTATTATTTTTAGTTAACGTGCCAATTGTGAATCGGCCGCACACATACGTACATACTCATACGTGCTCTAAAAACATCATATTCGTATTTCTGAGCATTGAATTATTTATGCTAAAACGAAGAACTAGAAAATTTAGCTGTTAGGAGGTCACTGCTTACATTCGGAAGCTAAATGTGAGAATTATGAAAAAAAAATCCATTCAATGACGTAACAATTGCCGATTAATAATTCAAAAAAACATCTATGGTCATACGTTTTTTTTTTCATTCAAACGAACCTTTTGATTCTCGAAACATAACAGTCCGCTCTAATGGTTCTTTTTCCACTGCATCCATTCGTTACAATAACTTATCGAAGCGGAAAACGTTCTCCTTCCCTGTTTCTTTCTTCTCTCGTACCTGGACATTTTTCATGTTTTATTTTATCTCTGCTCATGTACTTCTTATCGAAAAATAAAAGAGACGTTCTAATGGCGTTCAATTTTCTCGTTGGGAGTTTTCCGTCAAGTGGTGGCACGAGTAATTTCTCACAATTTATTTTTCATGAAAGTTCCTATGATTAAGATGGAGTGAGAAAGTGGAAATGCAAGATGATTTAACGTAGAAATGTTGGAGAAATATGAAATGAAACCATTGATTTCCCTTCCTCTTCTCAGCCATTAATTTACCTTCCAATATACCAACACCAATAATTTGTAACTTTTGCGGATTAAAGGACAGATGCATTTTGCTTCGTATTTGAAAACTACTGTATTTTTAAAACGAACTTTGATGAGCACTAGTGGATGCGCCTATTCATTACGAATTGTACTTCCAATGTAAATTAAAATTTTTCAATCAGCATGAAATCCTAGAATAAAAAATAAGAACGATGAAATTTTACAACACATCGCATAAAATAACTGAGTGTGATGAATCATATAGGGTGATTTAAATATTGAAAACGTAAATTATTATCGAATGGTGAAGTTGAATATGACGGAATAACAATTCGGTAATAGTTAACAAATTGTTCACATGAAAACTGAAATAAAGTATT